TGTTTTCTGTACTTCTCGGTTACTTGCTTTATCTTTTTGCAAACTCATAATAATACACTGAGCAGTGTATCTCTGTTAGAAGAGGGAAGAGGCTTTCTATACACTATGTGGTTTCTTGCAGTCTGTGTGACTGTCTGTGGACCTCTAACTTATATTTTCTTATTATCAACTTCTAGCTTGAGATTCTAAGGAATGAAAGTCATATCTGTAAATGTCATTTAGATTTGTAAAGCACCTAACTCAGGTTCCTGAGCATGGGCAGAATTTAATCAATAACTTTGAGGTTACAGAAAATTGGCCTTCTCTCAATTTCCTCATCCACATAATGACACGAGAGCTCATCTCTATTTAGTTCAATTCGGTTCTGCTGTTCATGTAAAGAAAGGCCATCTGACTGTGGCCAGGGAAGGAGATGTGACACTCAACAGGCTTATTTGGTTCTCTTGGTGACTATCAACGTGTGACATCTGGAACAGATCATGGCCTGGTATTTATTTATATAACTAATCTTTCATATCAATATTGGTCTGAATAGTCTTTTGATGGACTGAAATGAAAAGAAATTATCTATGACTTGTGCCTCTAGACCTGTGCTATATATCTCTATGTCCAGTCTAGTATTGACACTTCAACCTGGGAGAATTCTGTCCCCTCACTTATTCCCAACATTATGTGCAAGAGAAATCCTTGTTCTACTGAACACTAAGGACGGCAATGAATGGAGAGTGAAGGGAAGAGATGTCACTAAGTGGCAACACACACTGGAAGTGAGATGGAAGATGTGTGGATGTTGTTGCCTGACAACCCAGTGAAGTGGCCCCATGTTGCCATGGTGATGGAGGTGTGCTTTGGCTAAGTGCATGAGCAGATCCCATGTTTCAAATAGCTGTTCTTAGTGCCATTGCCTTTTCTGAATTGCTGCCCCCATCCCCCTGAGTTTCTGCTTGGCCCCAGCTGTCCAGATCTCTGCTGACAAATGGTTGTCCTTCGCAGAGAAATCACTAAGAGCACTCTAATTAATGTATGAGCTAATTATTCTTCTGCATGCTCAGCACATTTGTCTTACTGGACTGTCACACTTGATAAGTGCAGCGTATGCGCCAGCACTGAAGGCTGTGGAGCAAGGGTCCCGGAGAAGGGCACTGGACCTTGAAGCTGTGGGTTGCTTCTTGTTACATTATCTTTACTGATGGTCAGGTGTCTGGGGATTAAGTTATTTTCCGTGAAATGTATATGCTTTCCTTTCTTTTCTTTTACCAAAACATTTCTCTTTAGGGGCTGAGGAACCATCACTCAATTCATGAGCCCCTGGAGGGACTGACTACCCAGCACAGGTGTAGAAGGATCAGAGAGTCCCCAGGTCCTGGAAGCAGTGTTCAGGGAGTTTAACCAGACTTTGAAACTAGGCAGGCTTGGGTTTGAGTTCCAGTTCTGCTCCTTACTCTATGTGTGTTTGTGGGCATGTGGCCTAACCTGTCTGAACCTCAGCTTCATCTTTTGAGCAATGGGAAGTATAATTTGTACCCAGAGGGTTGTGTTGAAGAGCAAATGCACAAGTGATGTCCCCAAGACTCAGTGATGTCCCTAGGACTCAGCAGCTCAGAGCTCTGGGTCCCAGGCTTGGTCTGGTTTAGTCCTGCCTGCAGAAGACTGGCTGTTTGGCTGGAGACAGTCTTGTTAGGGATCCCAGACCCAGTGCAGGCCCGGTGCTCCCCTCCCCTGCTTCTCTGAGTTCTTGCCTTTTTTTTTTTTTTTCTTCTCAGAAGCTTTCTATTAAGATGAATGTCATTTCCGTAGGCTTCACTCTGATAAGTGATCCTCTGCAATGTAGCCAGAATCCTAATGTGTGCACTGGAATTGAAAGGCCAACTTGGCTGACTATTAAAATGCTCTTCCCAGGGAAGTAAGCTCACTCCACAACACGTGCTGTCTACTCTGGCATGTGACTACAGAGAGCCCAGCTGTGGATGTCCCACCACAGGAGGGGGCACAGCTATTGACCCCTGCCAGATGCTGTTACCAGACACCAAAGTGAAAATTGCTTGGCACCCTTCCCTTTCCCTTTGTGGAGCTCCTGAAGGCTTGGGAAACAATTAGGAGGCTTCCTCTTCCTGGTTTCCTGAGTTCCACAGAGCTGGAAGGGTTTCCAAATGGCATCTGGGCAGACCATGTTGGATTCTGGTGATGTATTGTCCATGTACCTGCAGAGCATGGCACAAGTGCACACACCATGCACATAAACACCTGGCAGGGGATAAACTAGGGTGAGCCTTAAAGACATCAGGGAAACTTGTGGGGCAGGGAAACTTCTTTAAAAACTTGACATTTTAATTATATATATATATATATATATGTATATATATATATATATATATATATATATATATATCCCTAATATGCAAATAGACTGAGTGGCAGAACAACTGAACAACCGAACGACAGATTGCTATGATGTGTGCTGACCACCAGGGTGAGTGTGCAGAATATGGCGGGATGGTGGAGCAGGTGAGCAGGGGCACCAGACCAAGGTGGGGCAGTAGTTGCTGTCATTGGAGTGAGCCTCTGGTGGTTACTGAAAATTCTTTGCTCCTGCACACTGCTGTCCCACCAGGTGCTTACACCTGCTGCCGGCACCAGCCCTGTTTGCACCCACAGCTGGTGCTGAAGCTGCCGATCGCACCTACTACCAGTGCCCGGTGCTGGCCCCAATTGCCCCTGAGGGCTTCTCCATCTATCCCTGCTCCTGTAGGGCAATCAGGGCAGCAGCTGCCTTTTGTACCTGCTGCTGGTGCCAGCCCCAGTCACTGTGCCATCAGCAGATGCGGAGCAAGACCAGAGCAATCAGCACATGGAAGTGGTGGTGGCAGGAGCAGGGTTGCCAGCAGACAGGGGACTGAGGGGCCAAGACCTGCCCCTGTGCCAACTGCAACCTCATGGCCTATAGTTCCTTTCAAGGTGCACGCATTTGTGCATGGATCCCTAGGGAGATTGTAAGTAATCTACAGTCATAGCATGATAGAGGATATACCCAATACTCTCCCCCAAGCCCCTGATATCCCTTTAGGGCACGATCTCCCTCAACCAAATGACAACTATGAAAACTACCAGGTTTTTTGTTTTCTTTCTAACTACCAGAGCCAATGAGATGATCCTAAAAATTAGATGAGTGAAGTCAGTTCTTTATAGGTGACAGAAGTTATAAGATGTAAAACTGTAGAGTTAGAGGTGGACGTATTTTCTATTGGTCTGTAGAGAGAAAAGGCTGACAAGCTAAAGAAAGTTGAAAGAGATTAAGAGAGAGCACCTCATGAGAGAGAAAGAATTCCTTGACTCCAAAGCCCAATCACATCTGGACTCTTTTTAGTTTTTGGTTATTCAGGTCCTTGGATTCTTTGAGCCAATAAATTTCCCTTTCTGACCAAATTAGTTTAAGCTACAATTCTATTATTTGCAACAAAGCAGTTTTAAGGGGACTGGTCTTCACTTTGAATGCATTGGCACTGAATTATGATGACTGTTTGCAGACTAACACTTCATGGGGGTCAAACTTGTCTACTGGGACCTAAGTGTCCCTGAGACTTAGCAAACTCACATAGAAATGAGATGTTAAGGAGAACACAAAAATCTTTCTAGTGCTGAGGCACTCAGAGGGTGCTCAAGTCATGACCAGCCTGGACGCCCTTGCAGCTGGCCTCTGTGCACCTCGTACTCTCAGGCTGAGCTGGCCTCTGCTGCTGTCCATAGAGGGGTGTGTGACTATCTCCCCATGCTGGCCTCTTCCACACCAAGAGACAGATCCCTGCTGCCACCAAATATACTGGCCAACATTTTTTTTCCATGTGAGGTTTTGCTAAAAGATCTTCTTAATCACTGCTAAAGAGACGAGTTTGGGATGAAGGTTGCAGGAATCTTGCATTTTCTCTTGCAACTTCCAAGGGATTGCCATTTACCAGGGAAAGCCATCCTGTAAACTGCCAGGCGACCATCTGCCCCACCCAGCAGGTCTACACTCACACCTTCTCTGTATGCTTGTCATTATGTTGAGAAGACTCCAGGGAAGGTTTCTCTACAATTACCTCACAGGATCCAGTTTTGGTGTTTAATAACACTTCCTGTTTGGAATTTTTCCTTAGGGGTCATTAGCAACCCTATTTCTGCCCTTTGTCTCAATTCTTTGATTGAGTTTTAATTCTCTTGTTGCTTTCAGATGCTCCTCCTCCTCCTCCTCCTCCTCCTTCTAATCCATCCATCCATCCATCCATCCATTCATCCATCATCTATCCATTTATCTATTTTATTACCTGACTGCCACTGTGGACCCTGCAATGTATTAAGTATTCCTTCTCCCACCCCCTAGGAATTCAAGAAAAGAAAGGCAGTACTCAGGACACAGATCATTTTGGTGCTTTGTAAATAAAAAGTTTCTTCTTCTTTTCTTTTTTTTCCCCCTCCTGCTTCTCCTGGCAGTCACACTAAGCCAGGGCACTTTGGTGGCTGATAAGAAAAAGAAGGAGAAGGAGGAGGAGAAGGAGGAGGAGAAGGAGGAGGAGGAGGAGGAAGAGGAGGAGGAGGAGGAAGAAGGAGGAGGAAGAAGAGGAGGAGGAGGAGGAAGAAGGAGGAGGAAGAAGAGGAGGAGGAGGAGGAAGGAGGAGGAAGAAGAGGAGGAGGAGGAAGAAGAGGAGGAGGAGGAGGAGGAGGAGAAGGAAGAGGAGGAGGAGGAGGGGGAGGAAGAAGAGGAGGAGGAGGAGGAGGAGAAGGAGGAGAGGAGAAGGAGGAGGAGGAGGAGGAGGAAGAAGAAGAGAAATGAAAGAAGAAGAAAAGGAAGAAGGAAGAGTAGGTGGAGGAGGAGGAGGGGAAGGAGAAAGCAGCACTGTGTACTCTGCTGGGACATTCAGAAATTCTAATGATGAAAGACGGAATGCAGGCTCTCACTTCCCCTTTCTGCACAGTGCAGACGTAGGTGGCACAGAGCAGTCCTCGTTGGTGAGCTTGAAGCAAACATGGACCAAGAAACCTTGGGCGATATTGTCCTGTTGGTCATTGTCACCCTCATTAGCGTGGTCCAGAACGGTAAGAGAAGCCTCTTACTTGGGTGGGAAAGCAAGGGGAAATTTTATTTGTTAGTTGTATGGAAGTCAGGCTTACATAATACTTTAGGTTTTCTCTCTGTACTTTTGTTTGATCTATATTTGTTTCTTTTTATTTGAATGTATAGAGGTGTGTGAGTTTCCATGTAGATTGGGTGTTTTGCTTATCCTGTTCTTTCATTCACTTTAGTAGTGATAACTAACCAGGCTTGCAGTGCCAGGGAAACCATCTGGAGGCTTTTCAAAGACCCTCACCGAAGGGCCTGCAATCAGCATTGTAACTGTTATTAGCTAGTGGGGTCAGAGAGGTGGGCAAGAAGCCTAGAAAGGGAAGATGAGACATATATTCACTCAGACACTGGGCTTTATTCTGTGCAGCTGGGCTGACTTCAATGCATCTGAGGTTACTATCAAGTGTAGGCTAAAAAAAAAAGTGAATTTGGGGGTTTGTGAAAGGGAAATCACCTTGTCATTGTTTTTTCTTTTGAAGAAACATATCTTTTGTAATACTTTTCCCTCTCTAGCAACGTATATTTTTCCCATATGCATTATATACTTATATAAAGAGAGAGAAGGTGGAACATTTGTTTGTTTGTTTGGGGCTGTGCACCTATTAATCTTGCTAACAGTTTTAAAAAGCCAAACAGGATACTCAGATCCGACAAAGGCAGGGCAATGTAGGACTCTCTCCTTAAGGTTCTGAGTTAGGACTGCATCAGATTATTTTCATCAGTATCTCCAGTGGCTTTGCATTTTGCAATTTAGTAAGATAGAGAAAAAGGAGAGTACTTACTAAGGACAGCTCTATAACTTAATGGTAATGAATATTCACACACCACCACACTTTGGAAATTTGAATATTTCATCAATTTCAGATATTCTGATATTTTTTTCCCCAATTTGAATGTAGACAGAGACTGGTGATTTAACTTTCTGAGCACAGAGCAAGGCTCAGAGGCACACTCTGAGAAGATTTCTTGTATGGGGCAGCACTTTGCAGCTTTCTTTCTTTTTAAATTTGACTTTATTTTTTAATTTCTTTGTTGATTAAGGTATTATATATGTGTCCTCATCCCCCCATTAGCCTCCCTCATTCCCCTCACCCCCTTGTTGTCTGTGTCCATTGGTTAGGCCTATATGCATGCATACAAGTCCTTTGGTTGATCCCCCTTACCCCACCCTCCCCTACCTTCCCTCTGAGGTTTGATCGATGTTTCTCTTCTCTGGATCTGTTTTTGTTTATCAGTTTGTGTTGTTCATTATAATCTATAAATGAATGAGATCATGTGATATTTATCTTTCTCTGACTGGCTTATTTCACTTAGCATAATGCTTTCTGACCCAAATGTTTTCATACAAAATCACACACAGTAGAGTTGCAACTTGAGAGGGAACAACCGGACTGTTTTGGCTGCCATTTCTTCAAGTCACCGCTGTTTCATGGGGGCACCATTTTGTCAATGAGCTCCCTCAGTTTGTCAATGGGCAAAGGGTTCATTCACCCTGCTCTGTGCCAGCAGTGTTCTTTTCCCCTGAGCAGACAGCTCTAGTTCCTGCTCCCAGAAGGGAAAGAGCAATGGGAGCAGATGTGGTCAGTAGGAAGCTACAATGACCTCTCTGGGAGGCAGCAGTGTGGGTGGTAGGCAGACAGTGGTATTTCAGCTCTGTGCAGCCCTTCCCCATGGAACCATCAAGGCAGCTGAGGGGTGTCCTGGCCAGGGAGCAAGAGCTTTCTCACTGCCTGCAAAGAGGACTGAGCTTAGCCCTGAGGTTGGTTGGCCTTCACGCTGAGCTACTCCCTCTCAGTTCCGACCTGGTGAGACAGGCAGGTGAGCTATTTTTGCAGTGTCTCGTGTTGTAAGAACAGTCTCTTCATCTCTCCTAAGAAAGATGCACTAGGCCCTGGCCCTGGGCTGTCGAGTGGGTGCTGGGCTTCTCTGTAATGGCATAGTGCACCCTGAGCAGAGATGGTGAGATTTTAATTATTTTTGGTAGATGAGATTCAGAAGTTCTTTGGTACAAAGTGGGAGGAGGGATTATAGATGGTCTGATGTCTAAGTCTTAACCACAATCTCCAGGCCATTTATGCTAGATAAAGATGGAACGCTGTGGTTTAGAGTTCCACCAACTGATGAGTGGGATGGAGGCTTCCTGGAGGGGATAATACAAATATGGACAAGCACAGAGCTACTGTTTTGGGCTGGAGACTTTTGTGTTGGGCAAATCCCACATGGTCCCCCACCTGTCTCTGTCCCTCCCCTGTTTCCCTGTGAACTCCAGCAACGTGAGCAGAGTGACCTTGTACAATGCTGCCCTCCCTAGTGTTTAGGGAAAGGACAAACTAAAGCCACAGAAAGAGCCCTTGTCACCACTTGGGTGACTCAGGACAGGTGTGCACCCTTTAGAAGCACAGGCATGAAGCCTTTTTGTTTGTAACTATTAAACATGCCATGTAGGAGAACAAGAATAATTCCAGTGACTTGGGAGACAGCATCTCTGCTTGTTTTCTCTGTGAGTTTCTAGGCAAACACAAAAGTCCAAATGTGTGTCCCAGAGCCTCTCTTTGCAATTCTAATCAACCTCCATGTAGCAGCCAAAGATCTACCTTACAGGATTTGGAAAATATGCAAAAACTGTGCTTCCCCCCTTGTCCACAAAACATTATTCCAAACCCTTCCTGTTTGTTTTAAGAAATATTTACATGTTGTGGTGAGGCACTGCACATGTTGTCTTTGTCTCAAAACAAGTCCCTGATTGTCCATGCTGGTGTGTGGGGCTCTGTGCCTTGCTGTTCAGTGTAAGCTCATATTCTGGAGAGACTAGGGTGTGGCCACTTGGTGGAACTTCCTCCTTTGCCTCTCAAATGTCCTTTAGTCATCAAGATCTTTGAACATGTGGCCCTCTTCCAGCCTGATCCAGCGAACGCAGATATAGACATGTTGAACAAGTCTGAAATAGATCATTGTAAGAAAGTGAGGCCAGAATCACCAGTGCCTACTTTCCTAGGGAGGATAGAGAGAGGTATTTCCTAAGAAAAGCATCCAATGAACCTTCAGTTTCTCCTGCCCAAGTGCCAAAAGCTTTGACATGGAGCAAAGGTGGAACACAGATTTGGAGGAAAGGGTGAGCCTAACTGGAATCAGTAGGGAAAAGAAGAAGGGGAGAATCAGGGAAGTAGAATCAAGTTGTGATGCTGTTTGCAAAAATAACCTCTGACTTTCTTAATACTGTCCCAGTTTACATGTTCAGAGGCCAGGATGTTATCTTAAGTTCTGGAAAGACAATTATTAGAATATTCTACTGGATTTTGTACTAAGAAGAGACATTCAGAATGGACAGATTTGTGCTTAAACCCTGTGTAGCTGAGGGAATCCATGCAGTGAGCATCTGTGTGACAGTGATAGGAAAACACATCCTCATAGACCAAGCTGGATCTGATCTTCAGCTTTACTGAGCCTAGTGTAGTGACTCTGACATTATTATTTAGCCTCCCTGAGGCATAGTGTCCTTATCTACGAAGTGGCAACAGCACTGGCCCAATAAGGGAACCTATATCTCATGCCGACCAGAGTGCATTATGGTAGATTCCCTTTATACAAGTAAGCCCTGGAGATGGGCTCAAAATGAGCCCATTCTTGAAGGGAAGAAATGCACTTTTGCCAAGCAGAAAACCATAAAGGCTTTTATTCAAATATAAGACATATTTTCCATATCTTTCTGAGATTGATAAGAAAGAGAGCCTTGTGGATGGATTCATGACAATCTCACTTTCCACCCCCCTTTTCAATCTTGAAATAGGAATAAAGGAATAAGATAGGTGGAAGGGAGTAAAAGAGAGACCTTCACTCCCTTCCCCCAACACCCAATGTATAAACAAATCCTCTGGATTCTGTCTTTTCCACAGTATCTCTTACATCCCACAGCCATCACCCTAATTGATCCCCTTCCCATTTTCTTCTCACTCTTCTCTGTGGTCTCCACACTAAAAACAGGGTGGCTTTCTGATTACACCATGGATCAGCTTACACTCGCCAGTAACGCCTCTTTGTTCTCAAGGTGTAAATAAATTTCAAATTTATTAACTTGGCTCTCAGCAAGGTCTCAGTGACGCTATTAAATCTAGTGGATACTTGTCAACCATCATCTTCTTCAAGCCTTGGCTTACTGTTTCCTCACTGAGGTGCATTCTGCCCAATCTGTAAGGTTCTTCCAATGGTCCTGTACCATGCTCTGCCTTCTCTTTGTCAATAGCTCCACACACTGTGTAATTATAATTTATGTATTTTGTTTGCTTGTATGGTCTGTCTCCTATTCTACCCTTGCCAGAACATAAGCTCTCTAGGCCAAGACTATTTGTGTGTTTTGTTCTAGGATTCAAACTAAGTGTCTGGCTTATGGCAAGTGATAATAGATACATGTCATTGAAAGAACAATTTACCATCTATCTCTCTGGCCTCATTTATAATTCAGCCAAGTTCTACCACACTTCCCACTCCTCATCATAAGATAGACATACTGAACCAAGGATAGTTCTTGACTCCAGACCTTTACATATTCCATTCCACTCGAGTAGAATGATTTCCCCTATTGTCACCTGCCCCTCTATCTCCTTAGCTAATTCATAATTGTTCTTTTTAAAATATTTTATTAATTTTTTACAGAGAGGAAGAGAGAGGGACAGAGAGCTAAAAACATCGATGAGAGAGAATCATCAATCAGCTACCTCCTGAACACCCCCCACCGGGGATGTGCCCGCAACATGCCCTTGACCGGTATTGAACCTGGAACTTTTCAGTCCCCAGTTCGACTCTCTATCCACTGAGCCAAACTGATCTCGGCTCATAATTGTTCTTTAGACTTTATTCTAGGTGTCACTTCCTTTAGGAATTTTGTGATCAGAACACTGAATTAGGTTGCCTCCTTTGTTCCACTATAGCACTGTGTTCTTACTCAGTCTCACCTTAGTACGAATCACTGTAAGCTAATTTCTGCTCTACTTCTTTATCTATTTCTTTCAACTATAAGGTCCTTGAAAGGGAGCTATGCCTTGCTCACAATCGCACCACCAAAACCAAGGGGAGAGTAGTTGCTGAATAAATTTTGCTAAATTACATTTGATGGAGAACATTTTGGACTGTTTGGAAGTCAAGACAAAATTTTTTTTTTTTAACATTTAATATGAGATGGCAGGATCATGACTATTTTTGTTAACACAAATGCAAACCTTTTTCTTAACAGGATTCTTCGCCCACAAAGTGGAGCACGAAAGCAGGACCCACCCTGGGCGGAGCTTCCAGAGGACAGGGACACTTGCCTTTGAGCGAGTCTATACTGCCAAGTGAGTCTAAACCCTGACACTGCTGACTAACAGAGTGGGGGCATGGGCATCAGGGTCTCTCTACTGGAGTGAGAACCAACCTCAAGGTCACATGTCTGTGTGGCTCAACCTTCCCAATACCAGGGAGATAGGGTTCCCAGAGGAAGTAGAACTCCCCCTGGGAGGCTTTGTGAAAACCCTCACCATCTCTAAGTGTATTAAAAGAAAGTAAGTGGGGACCCTGGGGTTGAGGGGTAAGATCTCTACAACTCCTCCTTGTTCCAGAGCTTGAGAGCCAGTCATTTTGTCACATAGTTGACCAATTTCCTGTGTGGTTAGTGCAGAAGTAATACAATGAAAACCAGACACTCCTCACCTTCTGCCTGCAGAAGCAACAGACAGGACCTACTGGCAGCAGCCTGCCACTCATCGACCGTGCAGTCTCTTGGTGGAAATCTGGAGGTGACACAGTACCTTTCATAATGCTGCTCTCCTTGAGCAACCAGAACAAGAACAGAAAGAATGGGAGGATTATGCAATGGCTTTCTCACTTTTAATTCTTTGCTTTTTGAATATAAAGACTGAAAACACTGGATCAGTCCAGTGAAGGAGCTGGTGCTTTTTGGGATGCAATGGATTTTATTAAAAACCCTCATTTTCCCTCTGGGCAAAATGCATTTGAACAGAGGGTTCAGCCCAGCATGTCTGCTGCTCCTCTGTGCCTGTGATTAGAGGCCTGTAGTAAAGGAAGGCTTTGGCTGTGAGCTAGGGAATGACCTTCAAGCTCAGCTTGGAAGGAACTCTGATGTGTCTAGAGATCCTTCCAAGGGGAGGAATCATGAACACCCAAGGAAAGGACTTTTAGGTTGGCAAGAACAGCACAAGCAAACACAAAGTTGGAGTCATCCTAGAGTCAGAGGCTCTAAGGGAGCAACTTGGGGGAAGGCTCCACACACAGGGCTACTGATGGCTTCTGAGAATTAAAGTGACTTAAAAGGGTGTCACTGGGTAAGCTTCATCATACTCCCTGTTACACTTTTGCTTCTATCCTTTGCCTCACCTAGCTATTTTTACTTAAAAAAAAATTGACATAATGGGAAAGAATAGTCCTCTCTATTGCCACTTTTCATTATCAGTCCCCTCTGTCCCCAAGCTTCTAAATTTCTGCATACATGGTCTGAGCCACTTTTGGGAACAGTTGTAGAGTCATCCCAAGCTGATTTTCTGGCCCCAATTTTGTTCCCTATTATTCCAGCAGTCTGATCTCAAGGAAATCTTTTGCTTAATTAATTATAGGGAGATTTCTATCTTAACATTTGGGCCTTCACTGTATTAATTCTCAGAATCAATTGAAGAAATGTAAAGATCTGGTGGCTGTAGGCATTTTGGATCCATTTAAAGGAAAGTAGGGAACACACACGGTGCCGTCTACCACTTGCAGAGGGAGAGGTGAGAGCTCCCTTCAGGCATAATCTGAAACAGCTGAAACAAAGGTGTCTTTGACTTGGGGTGACATAAAAGCCTCTTTGAACACAGAGTCCAAAGTAAACACTAATACTCCTCCACAGGTTTGGAAAGAGAAACTTTTCCCCTCCCATATCACTACTTCCTAACCAGTTATGTTGTATTCTTAGGTACTCCTCAGCTTGTCTACTTGGAAGAGGGTAGGCATTTTGGCCATGCAACAGAATTCCACTGTCCCTTGGGGAGAAAGTAGGTTGCCTTTTGCTGGTAATGAAGAAACAACAGACTGTTTGGGCTGTCTGTCTCTGCCATTCTCTGGAGTGAACTAGCTCTGCTTCTAAGAAGTCACTGTGTTCACACCTTGCCTGTTACCAGCCTTCAAATTGCAGAAGTGCCATTTGGTAGTGGTCGGAGGGTGGCTGGAAGTTCTGCAATGTTGTGGCAATTCTTGACATGAGAAGGAACTAGAAGAGCATGGTGGGCCTTTGGTGCTGCTGGGGCCTTCTACTCCCAAAACCAGAATCATTCTCAGTTAACTTTTATGGGACTGGGGATAAGGAGGAGAAGAATGAGAGGAAGAGAGAGAGAGCTGTGAGGAAGGGGGGACAGGAAAGAAAGATAAAGGTTATCTTTTGAAAGATAAAGGTTGCCCAGACACTGCTGTGGTTTTGTTACAAAGACATTTCCTCCTTGACCAGCTAACAGCAGGTGTGTGCCTGATCCTGTGGTAGATGGTAGAAGGTTCTGGAGATCAATGCAACAAAGTACAGCCTGTTGGTGAAAGTCACAGCCCCCAAGTCTTTGAAAGCTACAGAGCGGGGTGATGTGTTAGTCCAGTAGAAAGTAAACCCCAGCCACATCGTTTCCAGGGGCCTCCAAAAGTACCAAAGTACGGTGCAAAGTGAGTCCTGATGTTGCAAGAAAAGAAAATGTCATTAACTTTGCTGTCTAAAAAAATAAAAACTTAAGATCTACTCATTTTTATTTTTAAAAATTTATTTATTTATTACTATTATTATTTTATTTTTTCCCATTGATTTTTAGAGAGAGTGAAAGAGAGAGGGAGAGACATTGAGAAATATTGATGTGTTGCCTCCTGAACACACCCTAGTCCCGGGAGGAGCCTGAAACTGAGGTATGTGCCCTTGACTGGAATAGAACCTGGGATCCTGCTATCCACAGGCCAATGCCCTATCCACTGCCCTAGCCAAACAGGCTAGGGCTATATTTACTCATTTTTAATATACACATGGAGAGTAGTATCCTAATATATAAAAATCCAGGGGCCATCACAACTGAAACAACCAGACGGATGACTGAACAGCAGGCTGTGTGGGGTCACAAAGCTGGCAGGGGTGTTAGTGAGGGACCATCAAACAACTAAACAACAGGCTGTATGTGGCAACCAGACCAGCAGGATGGGAAAATTAGGGGTGACCAGGCCACTAGGTTGGGTAGTTGGGGGTGACCAGGCCAGTAGGGGGGGGCAGTAAGGAGCAACCAGGTTGGTAGGCATAGGTGGTTAGGGGTGATCAGACTGGCGGGAGGGGAGGGGGAAGTTGGGGGCAACCAGGCCAGCAGCGGGGGCAGTAAAGGGTGACCAGACCAAGGGGTGGCAGTTAGGGGTGATTAGGCTGGCAAGCAGAGGTGGTTAGGGGAAATCAGGTTGGCATGGGGGGCAGTTAGGGGTGATTAGGCAGGCAGGCAGGCAGATGAGCAATTAGGAGCCAGCAGTCCCTGATTATGAGAGTGATGTCCCAGGTTGGAGAGGGCATAGGCTAGGCTGAGGGACTCTCCTCCCCCAAATGCATGAATTTCATGCATCGGGCCTCCAGTATATATATAATGATATAAAATATATTTATCAGAGGATTGCATGATAAATACTTTTGGTTGATGAATTGCATTATACTAAATATTTATAGGCTGGTTATGAAGGCAAAAGTAGTAGGAAGGATAAATGGTGCTGGTGATTGAAAAGCCCCATACATATTTTTCAGTATAACATATGGCTGTGGACTAATACAGATAGTTCAAGATTGTGGGGCAGTTGATAAACAGACATCACAGCCAAGTATAGCCCATCAGCTCAGACTTGGCCTCCATTAATGGTCTCCTCAACCCCATCCCCATGAGGGCAGACCTGAGTCGGCAATTGAGAGAAAAGGAATCTTGACCTTGACTCTCTGTTCATGGGTATAAGTCATAGTTCAAAGCCCTATTCATATCTGATGAGCAAGGTACATCAGTTAAAGTTTATTTTTTGGAGAAAATTATCAGTTATTGTATCTAAGACTCTTCCCCACTAGTGCAGGTAAACACAGGTTGTAGAGAGGAGATGTCTAGTTATCTAATTTCATAGTTGACAAGTTCATGAGCTGTTGACAAGTGTTACAGGAATAAGTTCTGTACAGCAAGATTTTTTGAGAGTCTTCGCTGTGCTAAGGGACACTGTGATTTTCAGTTCTCCAGGAAGGGGAGGGGTTTTACAAAATGCATTTTGGGAAATGTCACCCCCATGTTCCTTCTTCCCTGCACCTCTCAGAATCCACTCTAGATTCCCTTACAATTGTTTGAAGGTGATAGATGTACATTGAGTCTATTAATTAGTACTGATACAGCTACTCTTAGGTACTTATTTTAAATTAACCGATACTAACTAACAAAACACTGAGTGCTTCTATATCTCATTCTGAAAGGTAGAATATTAGTAACAATGAGTTCTTTTCTCCATAAAAATGTTGGCACAACAAACTGATTGTGTGTCACAGCAAATTGGATATAGCCCAGTTAGCTGTTGTCAGATCTGCCGAGTAGCTCACAGTTAGATCTCAGGGCAATGAGAGCAAAAATGGGTTTGTCGGTTTTGTCTTGCAGGAAAAAAATGGCTCAAAAGTCTCCACAAAAGATATTTTGGAGTGATAAATATTTGTCAGTAGGAAAGACAAATTTAATAAGGGGTTCTAAGAAGGAAGACACTGAAGCAAGAATAGCCACTATTTCTTGAATGCTACTGACAAGCAAGACACTGCTTTATCTCATGCTATTCCCATAACAATCCAGAAAGGGAATTACTGATGTGCCCATTCACCATCAGTAGGTGAGAAAATCGAGGTTTTGGGAGGCTAAGAGATGCACTCACTTTCACACAGTTGCTAAGTGGCATTCCCACATTGGACTCAGGGCTTTGGGACTTTGAAAACCACAAGAATGTCCACGAGGCACTATGTCATTGACCAAAGCTACTTGAATTCATCCCACCAGCAGCCCTCTGTCAAGAAGAGGCATGTGTGCATAGAGCTTTGTTCTGGTGGAGATACATCAGAGATCCTGGATGGGGAGAAGGTACTTGCTTGGTTAGAGCGAGAGACAGGATTGGAGCATATTCTGAAAACCCACAAGAGGAATCTATTCTCTTATAGCTGAGAGAGTTTCATTTTACTCTGCAGACATTTTTATTAGGGACCATGGTGGCTTGAGACAATAAGCAAGAATGACTGAATGGCTGATCCAATGTCAAATTACTAGACATTCTGTCTAATGAGCAAGTTCTTTGATCAATGCAGAATTTTTAGGAATGTTGCATCACTCGGACAAAATCAGTTCTTTAAAATCAATCAACCAACCAAAGCAGAAGCATGAGACTGAGGAGGAAGCAAGGATGATCTTTGGTATTAAATATTAATAAACTTTCAATCTGTAGGAGCATCAAATATTATATCCCATCAGATACAAGACTTAATTCAACGAAATAAAAAGGGATGTTCACTCTTATTTCCTTGTACTAGAAAATGGGTTACATTCTCAGTCATCAGGCTGCAGTTTTGTTCTCTCATAACATATAAGAATGGAGGTCATGTTCATGCATAACAGCTGCTGCAGCTACCATTCTGGGACCTCTTTATTAACCACGTACTTTTCCCAGGTGGTATTTGTAAGGGGCTCTTACCCTGTCCACTAGGTAAGGGACAATGAGGTCAACAGGCTCTGCTCTATCCTGTATCCATATTCCAGCACAGGACACTCCAGTTTCTTAGCTTTTACATTCATTGACTCTTCCAGAAAAGGCTGTTTTAATCATCAGGGGATGGCAAGGCCCCTGTGGTCAGGAACACTGCCTGCCTCTCTGGGTTCTCCGAAGGGATCGGGCCCAGGGCTGGTGATTCCAAAGTTCCCTCTGGTCCCCCTGAGGCCCAAGGCCCTATTAGTTTGAACAGGTGTTCATAGCCAATTGAGGAGGAAAATCATGAGAAAGGATCAAGAGGGATCCAGATGAAAGAATCCAAGGAAGGAATTTGGATCAAAGGCCAAATATATTTTGAAAATTGCCTCTTGGCTTTTACCTGCACAGTTTGAATTACATGAAAACAATGGAACTCAAACTTGAACATGCATCAGTATCACTTGGAGGTCTTGTTAAAATAAAGACTGCTGGACCAGCCCCAGAGTTTTTGATTCTAGAGGTCTGAAGTGGGCATTTACATCTGCATATCTAATGAGTTTCCCCAGGGGATTCTGCTGGTCTAGGTCAACACTCTGAGAACCACCAATTAGACCACTAACTCTTTGAGCTTAAATGGATCTTACAGTTATTCATTACCAGTCTCTTAGTTTCATAGGCAAGGAGATTAAGTTTAAAGAGATTGCTGTGCCAATGACCAACAACTGGTTAATATCAGGTCAGGGACTCAATCCTAGTTCCATGCCCCCCTATCATGGTGCTCCTCCTCTTCTGTGCTTCCTGTACTGTTGGGTTATTTTTCTGTGGACATAGGTATCGTCTTTCCTGATGTAGACTGTAAAGTCCTCAAGAGGACACTGGAAATTTAATTTCTTATAGTCAAAGAGGTAACAGACCTGGTTTAGAGTCAGACTGAACAGTGTGTAAATCCTGGCTTTGCCACTCCATAACTGGGTGACCCTGGGAAACTTATTTAATTTCTCCCAACCTCTGTTTCTCACCTGAAATGTGAGAGTAGTTGTAGGCAGAATCATGGCCCCTCAAGGATCACCCCAGGCACCTATGAATATGTTATATTACACGGCAAGGGGAAGCCAAGGTGAGTAACCACTTATAAAGAAATTGTTCAGGATTATCTGGGTAGGAAGGAGGCAAAAGAGTTGGTATCAGAGAAATTCAGTGTAAAAAATATTTGATCCGCCATTGCTGGTTTTGATATTGGGAGAGGCCACAAACAAGGAATACAAGTCATATCTATAAGCTAAAAAAGGCAAGGAAATGGATCTGTCCTAGATCCTCTGGAAGGAACGCGGACACCTGGATTTTAGCCCAATGAGACCCATTTTGGACTTGTGACTTCCAGATAATAGGTTTGTCTTGTTTTAAGGCAGTAAGTTTGTGGCTATTTGTTACAAACACCATTGAAAATTCACGCAATCACCATGTGTACTCACAGGCCTGTGGTAAGCTTTAAGGAGACAAAAATGTAAAACACCAGTACAGTACTTGGGGTAGAGCGAGAGTCCCTCCATGGGAGCAAAGACTGAGCCCTGCACAGAGAAATCACACAATCAGCAAGATAACTTTCTGAATATAAGCTTTTCTTAACCTACCCTGGCTTCTTTAATGTGTGATGTTGCCTTTCCTTCCTCAGCCTGGCCTTGGGTCTGAGCTGAGTGTATATCTGCCATAAAGGTCTTAGCTGGGCTCTTCTCCCAGCTACCCCACCCTAATGGCCACCACTGCTTTGCTCACTTGTCAATTTCAGAAGCACTTTGGTGGCAAAGCCAGGGGTGGGAACTATGCCATAGCGAGTCCATCAAGAAACCCAAATCTCCAATGGGCTTCACTGAGGAAGAGAGTGAATGGGTTCTGAACACATGACGCTTTACACCGTTGTCCATTTCTGAGGTGGCAGCTGGTGCCGGTCTTCATGAGTAGATGTATGTGGAATTATGAGTGGGGCTTTTGACCCAGATGTGATGGGGCATATTAATTTGTGATTTCAGAGGACACTGTGGTAACATGTTTTCTGATTTTTCTTCTTTAAATTTATTTATTTATTCTACAGCCAAAACTGTGTCGATGCATACCCCACTTTTCTTGTCGTGCTCTGGAGTGCCGGGCTACTGTGCAGCCAAGGTAACCAGCTTCTCTCTGTTTTCTGTCTCAAATGTGCCAGAGGAGGCTCCAGTTCAGGCTCTGTTGAAAGGAGTTTGTCTGACCTCCAGCTCTGACCTATGAAACCCTGGAGAGGTGTGGCCTGGAGGCCAGGTTTCCTGAGCTCTGTGCCAGTGGATTGGTGGGTAATACATTGCTAATGCTGGCTCCCTGTGATTGAGAGTGCCTGCACTGACAAGGGTGGTTTAAGGCTAAATGTGACTCAGAATCCGTAAGCAGTGTTAGCTCAGATACAAGGGCATTCTAAATGAAAGTGCCAGAGGGATCTATTCTGGGGCTGCTGTCACTTGGCTCTCTTGCTAATAAGCTTCCAGGCTGGCAGTCCTCCCTCGGGCCTTGTCTGCAGAGTCTTGGGATGGATTCCAGGTCTCCAGCTTTCCCCAGTAATCAGCAGCCCACAGCCTTGACTTTAGCAAGTTGATTCCTAGAATGGATTTAAAGTTAAATGGAAACCAGAGTAATATTTTTTGGTCCCCTTTGGACACTGGCACTGTGTGGTCAGCCAAGCAGGGGGTGCCAGAAGAAGTCACTTGTGTTCTCTGATGAGCTATTTAACCCTCATCACCTCCTATTGCTTCATAAAGCAGGTAGAGTGGATATCATTCCCTCATCATCATCGAGGACACTTTGGTTCAGAGAGATAAGGTCATTTGCTCAAGATTACTGAGCTGGTGAATAATGAAACACATTGAGAGCCCAGGTTTTTTTTTTTTTTTTGCTACATCCTGGATTTTTCACCAGGAGCCTTCTACTTTATTCATTTACATGATTCACATACATAGAACACCTACTCTGTGACAAGCCCTGTGCTTGGATACACAGTGACTGATAAAAAGATGGTGAAGAAACCCACAGTAGTTGGCAAGATGAAACACAGAAAATCAGTGAAATAATTTATACTTGATAAATTATTACCAAGAGTGGGAGGTAGCATGAAGGAAAAGAATAATAGCAGTGATAGAGAAGAGAGGTGAGGGATGGCAGAGAAACCACTTCAAGGACACCTGTGCTCCATGAGGCTGTCACTAAGCTCACTATTTATTTTCCACTTTCTATCCTTAATTAAATAAGAAATATGTCCAAAAAGACTTAAAAACCAGGTCAAAATATGCTCTACAGTAGGAGTTATGATTCCTTTTATGTTTTTGATGATACTTGATGTGGCTGGCTATAGAGTTGTTCCAGTTAGACAAATACAAAGGGAGTCTACAGGTGTTTCAGAGCCTGGGACCATGCATTACCTGACAAACATGTGTTGGCATTGTCAGGGAACAAAAGTGTCAGTAAACCCTGTTTGGTAACATATATCATATCAAAATAGTAGGCGATACAATTTCTTAGCTGAAAGGAAACCTTGGGGATCATTTGAGCCCAGACTCTTTATAGAAAAGGAGCCCAAGCCCCAATGGGACAAGTGTCTAGCTCAGACTTTAGAATCGTAGAGTCCAGATTTGCACCCCCTGTGCTTCTCTTGCTTTTCTAAGAAGCCCAGGTGCACAGAGGCATACACCATATCTGGCATGAGGGCAACAAGTGTGGCTATTTCCTACCCTGACTCCTATTATAGTTCAATGCAGTTCCTAGTAAAAAAACGATGGGCTGGTAAGTTAGCTCAGAGCCATCCTGATGGAACCAACCAGGAAAGACTTTGCCTAGAACAAATTGTGAATTGTAATAATTTTGTGGCTTTCAGAGAATAGGATGAACTTCATAAGCAATTCCTTTGTGCTTTGGATTCCTTCTCTGTCATGTAACAATAGATTTTTGGAGGCAAGGCAGAGTTGTGGAAAGAACATGGGTCTTGGGGACTGATACACTGGGATGATTCCACTGCTGTTGTGACCCTGGGCTGTAACTCAGCTTTCCTAAGCCTGAGTTTCCTTATGTGTAAAACAGGAATGACTAGATTCCCGGGATGATTGTATGAAATAATATGCATTCAGCCCCTGACACATTGCTTGGCATATCGGATTAAACCATATAAAACTGCAGTTAGTTGACTGTGACTCATGAAAATGGCACTTTCATATAGTTCAGCTTAACCATAGAAACCCAATAAGTGTTATTATTGATGGCGCTAGTGATGGTAATAATGCTTTGAACTCAGACCTGTTTTCAAATTCCACCTCTCCCTTGGCCAACTTATATGACTTTTATTCATTCAGTTGAAAAATATAGAAAGCCGAGAAGAATCCAAGATGGCTGCACAGGTAAACAACTAGCTGCAGCAGCACACAACAATTTCAATAAAATACAACTAAAATATAAAATGGACATTACCCAGAACTACAGGAAAGTTGACTGACTGGAAATTCTACAATGAGAAGCAAGGAAAAAACCAGAAGGAAGAGTGAAGGAGCTGTAAAAGCCTAAGGAAAGCTGCGAAAATGCCGAGACAACGAAATAGATCACAAACGAAAGAATGGAGGACAAAAAGCGACTGGAGATAGTGTTCAAATCTACGCTTATAAGGTTTTTCAAGAATTTCCTAGAAAAGGTCGATAAGACCTATGAGGATATGAAAAGGAATAACTAGAATTAATAAGGAATCAACAAGAAATAATAAGGGATCAACAAGAAATAATAAGGGATCAACAAGAAACAAAGAATACATTGTCTGAAATAAAAAATATTATACAGAGTCCTAAACACAGAATGGAGGATTGCAAGAATCAAGTCAAAGATTTGGAACATAAAGAGCCAGAAGACACTCCTCCGCAGAAGCAAGAAGGCAAGAGAATTCAGAAAATTGAAGATAATGTAAGAAACCTCTGGGACAACTTCAAGCGAACCAACATCAGAATTATGGGGATCCCAGAAGATGAGAGAGAGCAAGATATCGAAAACATACTGAAAGAAATAGTGACAGAAAACTTCCCCCACCTGGTGAAAGAATTAGACTTACAAATCCAGGAAGTGCACAGAACTCCAAACAAAAGGAATCCAAAGAAGACCACACCAAGACACATCATAATTAAAATTCTAAGAGCAAAAGACAGAGAATATTAAAAAGCAGCAAGAGCAAAGCAGGTAGTTACCTATAAAGGAGCACCTATACGATTGTCAACTTATTTCTCAACAGAAACCATGCAGGCCAGACAGGAATGGCAAGAAATATTCAAAGTGATGAATAGTAAGAACCTACAGCCAAAAATAATCTACCCAGCAAAGCTATCACTCAGAATTGAAGACCAGATAAAGAGCTTCACTAATAAAAAAAAAAAAGCTAAAGGAGTTCATCACCACCAAACCAGAATTATATGAATTGCTGAAGGGGGTTCTTTTGGAAGAAAAAGTAAATAAAGATAAAAATTAAGAACAACAAATACATAACTATCAACAAGTGAATCTAAAAACCAAGCAAATTAAAAAAAAACCCTGATGAACAATATTAACTGCTGAATATAATAGAATCAGAGGTATTGAAGGGGAGTGAACTGACGATGCTTGGGGAAAAGGGGGGAGAGGGATGTGGGAAGAGAATGAACATAAACTGTGCACCTATGGATGAGGACATTGTGGGGTGGGGAAAGGGCAGAGGGTGGGGTGGGAACCTGGTGAAGGAGAGCAATGGAAAGGGAGGAGGGGGGAAGAGGAACATTTGTAATAATATGAACAATAAAGATTTATTTAAAAAAGAAAAAGAAAAAGAAAAATATAGAAAGCCAATATGTGCCAGGCATAAGGCCAGGCACAGAGATGAAGGCTGGTGAAATATGGCTGTCCTCAGGAATCTTTTGGTCTGGCAGGTGAATCTGGGCAAACTGACTTCCTGGAACCTAAATTTCTTTAAATGTCAAATAGTGACAGCAGTGTGCTCCTTACCAGGTGGCTGAGAGGATAGAAGACCCATGTATCCAAAGAGCCTTGGCACTACTGGCATATGAAAAGTGCTCACTCAGCACATTCACCTGGCATTTGAATAATGCTAGAAGGTTTTCCAAGTGCCTTCATGCTTATGCTTTATTTTTTTGACTCTGGATTATTCCTGATAGGTGGGAAGCTGTAATCGGCCTTTTGTCCAGATGTAAACCAAATTAAGTATTAGCTCCAGCTCATGGCAGTTCAAGTGGGGCCATGCTTTCTGACTCAGCTCCAAGCTCCAGACTGCAGGATTATTTGGGTACAGCTTATGGTTGCTCATCACAGGCTGGAATGCAAATGAAATCTTTTTCTCCAGAGATCTTTTCTGAATGATCTTTTTTTTTTTTTTTATTGATTTCAGAGAGGAAGGGAGAGGGAGAGAGAGATAGCAATTATTCAGAGAAGTATGAGCATTGTGCTTCTTGGAAGCCCAGAGGAGAAGGTTATACTTTCAAAGGAACTAGGCTCAGAGCTGTGCTCTGGGTCTGCCCCTTCCTCCCACAGATACATCTAACACCGGGCTGCTCAAGCCCGTTTTCCACATCTGGAAATGGAAAAGATGATACTGGTCATGAGGAAAGGATTTAAATTAGATGATGGTTATGAAAATTCTTGGCAAACAATACCACAATGCCAATATAAAGTTACATCACTATTATTATTTTTAATTTTTAATTACAGTTGACATTCAATATTACATTAGTTTCAGGTGTACAAAATAGTGATTAGACATTTATATATTTTATAAAGTGGTCCCTCTGATAAGTCTAATACCAGCTTGGTACCATTCATAATTACTACAATATTATTAACTACATTCCTTATGCTGCACTTTACATCTCTGTGATTATTTTATAACTATCAATTTGTACTTCTTAATTCTCCTACCTTCTTCTCCCATCTGAGAGCCATTAATCTGCTCTCTGTGTTTATGAGTCTGTTTCAATTGGTTTAGGCATTAATTTTGTTCTTTAGATTCCACATATAAGTGAATTAATACGGCATTTGCCTTTCTCTGACTGATTTATTTCACTTAGTATAATACCATCTAGGTTCATCCATGTTGTCACAAATGGTAAGATTTCATTCTTTTTAGTGGCTGAGTAACATTCCATTGTACATATGCACTACCTCTTTTTTATCCATTCTTCTGTTTATGGACACTCAGGTTGACTCCATATCCTGGCTATTGTAAACAATGCTGCAATGAACATTCCACTGCATAGGGGTGCATATATCTGTTCAAATTAGTGTTCTGGATTACTTTTGAATATATACCTAAAAGTGGGATTGCTGGGTCCTATGGGAGTTCTATCTTTAGTTTTGTGAGGAGCCTCCATACTTTCCTCCACAGTGGCTGCTCCAGGCTGCCTTCCCCAGCAGTGCATGAGTGTGCTTTTATTTATTAATGGCAGCCATTCTGACAGGTGTAAGGTGCTACCTCATTGTGGTTTTAATTTGATGATTAGTGATGGTGGGCATCTTTTTATATGCCTATTAGAGGCCCAGTGCACACAATTCATTCACAGGAGGTGGGGGAATGTATTCCTCAGCCCAACCTGCACCCTCACCAACCTGGGACCCCTTGTGGGCTGTCCAACTGCCAGTTTAAGCCTGATCTCACTTAACCCAGCAATTGGACATCCCTCTCACAATCTGGAACTGCTGACTCCTAACCACTCACCTGCCTGCCTGCCTGCTTGATTGCCCCTAACCGCTTCTGCCTCCCAGCCTGATCACCCCCAACTGCCTTACTCTGCTGACCTGATTGCCCACAACTCTTCTCCCCTGCCACGACCTGTCTCCTTTGCCAGGCCCCACCTCCACTGTGCATGTGGTCATCTTATGACAGCCATCTTGTGATGCTGTTAGGGCATGATGCATGAGAGTGTGACAACCACATAGGCTATTATTAGTATAGGTTGGCCACCTGTAACATCACTATTATTAAAATGTTCAGATTTCTTCCAGCCCTAGGCTGTTTGCTGAAGTTTACATCAGCCCAGACTGTCAGAACTTGAGGCCTCTGCTAGATTTTGTGACAGGCAGTAATTGCACAATGATAATTTTAAAAAATATTTTTATTGATTTCAGAGAGGAAGGGAGAGGGAGAGAGATAGAAACATCAATGATGGGAAAGAATCACTGATCGGATGCCTCTTGCATGTCCCCAACTGGGGATCGAGCCCTCAACCCTGACCAGAAATTGGTCGATGCTCAACCATGGAGCTACGCCGGCCAGGCCACAATGACTGTATTAAACTGTATTAATGTTGTGTTAAGTTAGCCTGTTTGGTATATGTGAAACTAAGGTGTTTTTCTTTTTCTTTTTCCACTTAGTTCCTGCTGCCTTTGCTGGGCTGATGTACCTGTTCGTGAGGCAAAAGTACTTTGTTGGCTACCTAGGAGAAAGAACTCAGAGGTAGGCACTGGGAGTGTTTAAGAACCATGGAGCAGTCATACTTCTTGAGCAGGAAGAGTGGTAATTCACAACCGTATTCTGGGTAGCATTCGAAGGCCTGGGGGACCACTTGAGGTGGGACGGCCAAAGCTGACTAGGATCCCTCTCCTTTTTCTCCCTGAACTTCATGGGCTCTGAAAATACAGCTAGGGGCCTCGAACACTGAACAATTCCTGCCCCTGGTGTTGGGTTCACAAAGGTGCTTTAATGCCATGTGCTACACATTCCTTGAAACCCCATACCCTCTATTCCCACCCTTCACAGTCTGGGGCTTGAATGACATCCTATGTCTAGTTTTCCCAGCCTCTGGTGAGTGAAACATTTCATTGTTTGCTTAGAGAAATGAGAACTAAAGCTTGCACCGGGTGATAAGTTCTTTTGAATAACAGATTTTCCAGAGGCCAACAGAAGGAATGTTGAGAACATAAGGTACAATCACAGGCAGAGAATGGGAACTGAAAATGAAGTCAATGTTGCATGGCTTACAGATGGTGCCAAATTAGCAATGACACTTCCACTCCACCTGGATTGGGAAATCCGATTCTAGTAAAATAAATGATGGCACTTATAGAAGACACATTCCAATGGCAGAACACCCAGGAGAATAGGATTCCTAATGTAGCAGAGGGGCTCTGAGAGCCAGGTATTTGTTCTGGGAGGTTGGGCCTAGGCTTCCCCTTCAGTTTTCTTGTCTACTTTCTCAACCCTCCTGGCCTTTTACAATAGCACCCCTCTCCAGTGGCTAATGGGTTCTCCATTTAGATAGCATCCTACAACAGTGACAAAGGCGCTGACATCCCAGGAGGTCAGCAGGTGAAAGCATTATTTCTGCGGAACTGGGAGCTGCAAAGCTAAGTGACTTGTTAGCTTAGTAGTGAGCAGCCGAAGAATAATGGCTTTTTCTTATAATTCTTTCCTGGTGCTCATGTCTCCTTCATTCCTCTCTAGTGGCCTTCCTATTCATCCTCTAAAACCACATTTCCATTATCTCTCTTATTCTTATCAACACTGTCCTAAATAATGTTCTTTATTCTCCTTTACCTGGGAAAACCTTTACTCTGCCTTCCCCAGATTACCTGCTGTCAGGCGTTGTGGGGGTGTCCATCAATAAAATAAGGGAGCTTGGCTTCCCATGCAGCCCTGTCTTTCTCCCCTAAGACACAGGCATTTGGCTAGGTCACAATTTTTCTCTTTATCAGTCACCACTTGCCTGAGATCTTAAAGTTGCTCTAATTCTAAGACAATCTGTGGCTTATGACAAAAGTAGTCCATTTACCATAGGCATTTCTTTTTTTAGAGATAATCACTACTAGGAAATGGATAGAGGCAGCAAAAATAAATAATAGCATATGGACTTAAAATCTGAAAAGTATTTGATTTCTCTAGACTTCATTGAAATGTAAATGGCTTAACCTCTTCTTTTTAAATCATTTATAATTTTTTAAATTTACAGTTGACACACATTTCTATATTAGTTTCAGGTGTACACCCCTGTGACTAGACATTATATAACTTACTAACTGATCATCCTGGTAAATCTTGCACTATCTGACATCATACATAGTAATTAGATTTCTACTGACTATATTCTCATGCTGTACTTTGCATCCCCATGATTATTCTATAATTACCAATTTGTATTTCTTAATTCCTTCATCTTTTTTACTCATCCCCTCAAACATCCTCCAATCTGGCAAATGTCAAAATGTTCTCTGTGTCTATGAGTCTGGTTTTGCTTATTTTATTTTTTAAGATCCAATTGTTGATAAATATACATTTATTACTATTTTATTGTTCATATTTTTTATCTTTTTCCTTCTTTTTAAAGAAGATCCCTTAACATTCATAGTAATACTGGTTTGGTGGTGATGAACTTTTTTAGCTTTTACTTGTTTGGTAAGCTTTTCAAATGTCTTCTGATTCAAAACAAAATTTCTGGGTAGAATAATCTTGGTTGTAGGTTCTTGCTTTTCATCAATTTGAATATTTCTTGCCAATCCCTTCTGGCCTGAAATGTTTCTGTTGAGAAATTATCTGACAATCTTATGGAAGCTCCCTTGTAGATAACTGCTTTGAAAATTCTCTCTTTGTCTTTAACCCTTGATATTTTAATTTTGATGTGTTTTGGTGTGGGTTTATTTTGTTTGGGACTCTCTGTACTTCCTGAACTTGTGTGTCTATTTCCTTCAACAACTTAGGGAAGTTTCACATAATTATTTTTTCTAAGAGGTTTTCAATTTCTTGCTCTCTCTCTTCTCTTTCTGGCACCCCCGTGATGTGAATGTTGGTATGCTTGAAGTTGACCCAGAGGCTCCTTACACGATCCTAATATTTTGTATCCTTTTTTTTCCTTTTGATGTTCTGATTTTGTGTGTGTGTGTGTGTGTGTGTGTGTGTGTGTGTGTGTTTTCTTCCTTATATTCCAAATCACTAATTAGATTCTTGACTTCATCTATTCTACTGTAAATGATTCCCTGTAAATTATTCTTCATTTCAGTTAGTCTATCCTTCATTTCTAACTGGTTCTTTTTTATGTTGTGGAAGTTTTTACTAAGCTTATTGAGCATCCTAATAACCAGTGATTTATTTATTTATTTATTTATTTATTTATTTATTTATTGTTAATCCTCATCAGTTTTTCCATTGATTTTTTTTTTAAGAGATAATGGAAGGGGGGGGGGCAGAGACACACAGAGAGAAACATTTTTGTGAGAGGGATATATTAACTAGTTACCTCCCACATGCAATCTGACTGAGGATGGGAATAGAGCCTGCAACTGAGTGTCCTTGACTGGAATAAAATGCAATACCCTTCAGTCTGCAAGCCAATGCTCTAACCACTTAGTCAAACTGACCATGGAAATAGTAAGTGTTTCAAACTTTATATCTGGTAGGTTGCTTGTGTCCTTTTTGTTTAGTTCTTTTTCTGGAGTTTTATTCTGTTCTTTCATTTGTGACATGCTTCTTTGTCTCCTCATTTTGGCAACCTCCATATGTTTGTTTCTATCTATTAGGTAGGGCTGCTACATCTCTCAGGTTTAGTAAGTGGCCTAATATAGTACGTGTTCTGTAGGGTCAGTGCCATAGCTCTCTGATCACCCAAGCTGGATCCTTGAGGTGCAGCCCTGTGTAGGCTGTGTATATCCTCCTTTTACAGTTAGCACATTAATGGGAGAGATTTACCTCCAGGCAGATCAACCACAAGGACTGGCTACAACTACTGACTACTGATCTCCGATAACTGTGGAGGATCAGTTGTGCAGGGGCCCATCCCACAGAGCATAGCTTACTTTAGTAGGGGTCGGGTGCCTGCTGAGTCTTCCCCTTTAGTGTGTTCCTTGTGGAGGTGATTGAGTAGTGATGTTTTGATGTAGTCTGAAGTTGTCCTGGGTAGACTAGCTCTGAGGCCTGCCAGGAGGTGCAGGCAAAGGTCAGTTGCTGTCTCTGTTCTGCCTGGATCTGTAGATGGCTGCTTCTTATGCTAGGCTTGGAGCTGTCCAGAAGAGGCCAAGCTGTGAACCAAGGTGGCTGCTGCTAGTGTTAGGCCTGGGCCACTTAGTGAGAGGTATCGGACACACTGAGGCCAGATGCTGCTAGTTTGATATATTTTAGGGAAGTCTAAAGCATGAGGCAAGACAGGCCATTCATATGCTGAGCCACTCACCATTTTAAAGTCTGTCCCACCTCCCAATTATGGGGCCATGGGTTAGTTCACCAGAATCAGAATGAGCTTGCTTCTTTTGGAATACCTGGGTGAGCACATGGATATCCAGTCTGGAATTTTCAAAGTGAAACCCACCAATCAACTGCACCTGACTCTCCTACGATGCTTATTCAAAGTAGAGTCATGGGGCCCTCCCAGACATATGGAACCAGAATCTCTGGGGTGAAGGCTCAGGAATCTGCAGATGATTCTTATACACATGGAGTTTGGGAGCCACAGAAGGCTGCTCATGCTTTTTTTTTTTCTTTTTTTTTTTTCTCTGAGAATGATTCATTAATGTGACACACATTTATGGAAGTCCTGACTTATTTGAGATAAGTGGATGAATGAAGGAGACAGTATCCTGTTCTCATTAATCTTACCATTTTTTCCCTTTAGAAGTTACTAGGTTTAAAGTGATATTTCTTTATTGAAAAGAATAGAAATTTAAAGCCAGAGGAACCGTAAAATTTCCTTTTTCTACCCATATTTGGTGTACATTTCTGTGTGAGGTAGGAGAGGTAAGTTGCCCAAGGCCACATTGCAGAGACCTGGGGCTGGAACTGTGTCTCCAAATGCCTGGGTTCACCTCTCTTCTACCACATCTCCACTTCTTGGAAGTTTTAGATACATTTGAGATGGGAATTGTTTTACAATGCCTCTTGTATGTTTTCCTGTAGATTTTATGCTATGTGTGTGTGGGGGCACATTTATTGCAAAACTAATAACCAAATCCTAGTCTCCAGAATCTGAAGGAGTCCTCAGGAAGTCAATGTGGCAGAAAGAGGAAGACTCTGGCCCCACACAGATAGGTTTGAATTACTACTCTGCCTCTTCCTGGCTGTGTGACCTTAGGAAAATTGTTGAACTTGTCTGTTCTCATTTTCCTCACCTGGAAAATAAGCTAATCATACCTCACGGAGTGGTTCTAAGAGTTAAATGAAATCACAGGTATAAAACTCCTGGTTTCTTCAGATGATTAATTATTTCATTCTAATCTTCCCCACCTTATTTAGAGAGAACTATGTGATCCCAATCTTAATTTTTATTATTTAAAAACAATATGGTTGACATTTAATGTTAAATTAACTTTGCTCAGCATAATGGTTAGATATTTATATAACTTAAAAATGATCCCCCAATAAGTCTAGTACCCACCTGGCACCATATATAGTTCTTACAATATTTTTGGCTATATTCCCTATGCTGTACTTTACACCCCATTGATTATTTTGTAACAGTTGATTTGTATTTTTTAATTCCTTCACTTTTTTTACTCCCCAATGCTCCTCCCATCTGACAGTTTGTTCTCTGTATATATGAGTCTATGTCTGTTTTGATAGTTCATTTATTTTGTTTTCATAGATTCCCCATATAAGTGAAATCATCTGGTATTTGTCTTTCTCTGTATGACTTATTCACTTAACATAATACCCTCTAAGTCCATCCATGTTGGCCCTGCACATGGTAGGTATGTGTGCTAAGTTCTCTACACTACCTGAGAAGACGACATATCTCCTTTGGGGGAAGTATACCTTGAGACGTTTGCAAAACTCCTGCCCAAATTTAAGAAGACCACTATTCCATTAGGAGGCATCATCATTTTATGCCTTACCACAGATTTATCTTGTGTGTGTTCTGAACAGCTTCACAAATTCCTTTTTTATTTTTTTGCAATGAGCATATGGTGGCCTCATTCATGTGGTAAATCAGAGCCACCACAATATTTGACTTTTCACAATTTAACGCTTCTGCACCCTCTGTTCTCTGTCTGAAAAATAGACTCCTTGTCATTCTTTTCTCTTCCTTACCAGCATTAGCAGGTAACTCGATATTCATCTGCTAGTGCCACCATAACAAAGTGCCACAGATAGGTGGTTCAAACAACAGAAACTTAGCATCTCACAGTTCTGGACATTGCCTCCTTCTGAGGCCTCTTTTCTTGTGCAGATGGTCATCTTTCCCTGTGTCTTCACAGGGAAAAAGGAAATGGTCATCCTTCTGTCAGATTGAGTCTTTAAAAACCCTATTTTCAAATATAGCAGTATTCTGAAATATGGGACTTAGTAATTAAATTAATGAATTTGAGTGGGACACAATTTAGCCCACAACCCTCTCTTTTGGGACCCCCTCCCCAGTACAGAGATAGGACTTCTCATTTCATGAGCATGATTATGAACCAAAAAGTCAAGGAGAAAAGAACATAGCTGGCCAAGGAGCAGGGTGCCTCAGCAGCACTTCTCCAATGTGAATATGCCTGGGAGTCACTGAAAAAGCTTGTCAAAATGCAGATTCTGATCTGTAGACCTTGGAGGGGCCTGGAATTATGAATTTCTAACTAGCTCCATGCTGTTGGTCCAAGGATCACACTTCAAGTAGTAGGAAGGTTGATACTCAATTACTGAGTGGTTTTCAAATGCTTGACCGGGAAAATTATGGGTTACATTGTGAACCTTTGGGGTCTCTTTCAAAAAGATAAAATTTCTAACAAACTTGTGGACACCAAATTTTGCTCTCTGATTATATCAAGAATCAGACTCAACGGTATTAACTCACATGCTCAGCTGGGCTAGCTGTTCTTGTTGAGGAGTCCTGGTTGTCAAAGGCTCCCTCACCAGCCATAATGAGACATTTGGCTGGACTTTGCTAATGCCACACAGATAGACCCAGCGGCAGAGATTATAGAATTCTGCAGATGGAGGGAGGAAGCCAGGGGCCTGCTGTGAACAATTTGGTGGTCACATATTACTGGGGAGAAGCTCCTGACCCCAGTCGATGATATGCTTCAGCAGCTCCTAATTACAGCCTTTGATAGAAGAGTATGAATGTTCTAGTATAAAAAGCCTGTCTCCCTCCATTCATTTAACACCCGTCTTTCACTGCTGGGGGCCCAGCTCTCACTAGAGTGAACATGAGTTATTCCCAGGCAGATTGAAGTCTCAGATGCCAAAGCACCTTTTAGATTTCACCAGCCTTGTTAGCTCATTTAAACCATCACTTCTCTCCTGGAGGCCCTTAAAGGCTTGTATTATACACAGCTGCCCTGACGCTCTTACAGGCGCTCCTGGGAGGAGCAGGGTAGAGAGGGTCTGGATGAGTCGATAGGATTCCTAACCCCCAGTCAGAATGCCCAATGACCAGCAAAACCTGCTACTTTCACGATGTCAAGGACTAGAATTCAGAGAAATCCAGGAGCACACAGAGCAGCTGTATGCTGAGCCTTATGGATGAGGGGTCTGAAGTCTGGGCTCTTTAGCTGGGTTTTGAAATATGTTCAATGAGTAATAATAGCTAAGAGACCTCCATCCTTCATATGAAGTAAATGGAACATTCTTGAGTGAAAGGAGCTATAATTTAAACCCCATGTATTTCAAAGTGGGGGGTGTGTGTGAGAGAGGGGAGGGGGGAGAGAGAAAGGATGTCATTTGTGCAGCTTCTACATGTTTCTCTCTTCTTTTCCAGCACACCTGGCTACATATTTGGGAAGCGTATCATATTGTTCCTGTTTCTCATGTCCCTTGCTGGCATATTCAACCATTACCTCATCCTAATTTTTGGAAGTGACTTTGAAAACTACATAAAGACGATCACCACCACCATCTCCCCTCTGCTTCTCATTCCCTAACTCTCTGCTGAATACAGGGTTGGTGCTCTCATCTGATCAATACCTAGAAGTCATCATAACTCAGCCCTTGAGGGATGCAGCCCTCTTAGATAGGAAATAAATCTAATGACCATCTGGGCTTCACAGCTTGAGTTCACCTTGCTTTTCCTGGAAGAAAATAATCCTGCATCAGCTCTCCCTTCCCTCTCCCCCACCCCCACCCCCGGAAAATGTCAGTATTTCAAGATTTGTTACCCAGACCCACTCTCTATGTTCCTTGACTTATCCTGCTTTCTGAATATGTTTTGGGACCAGATTTATGTTTTCCTAAAATAAAATGTAGAGACATGTTGGAAGTTGGTGTTTGAATTTTGTGTTGTCTGTTGCTAAAGTTGAATAACTAGTTTTACTCAACCTAAATAATGATAATAAAACATACATTATCCTTACACACACACACACACACACACACACACACACACACACCCACACCTGAAAGGGTATTCAGCAAAACACTGTGATTATCTCTCTCTCTCTCTTTTTAAAAAAATATATTTTATTGATTTTTTACAGAGAGAAAGGGAGAGAAATAGAGAGCTAGAAACGTTGATGAGAGAAAAACATTGACCAGCTGCCTCTTGCACACTCCCTATCGGGGATGTGCCCGCAACCAACGTACATGCCCTTGACTGGAATCGAACCTGGGACCTTTCAGTCCGCAGACCGACGCTCTACCGCTGAGCCAAACCGGTTTTGGCCTGTGATTATCTCTTAATGAGCAAATCCCATTAAAGAAAGAAACAGAAGAGATACAACTGAAGCCTTGTCTTTCCTAAGAAGCCTTCCCTAACTCAAGGTTAGTCTATGTTGCCCTCTGACCTTCCACAGCACCCTGTGCACATCTCAAGATATATCTCTGCTAAATCATCAGCTCTTGAATATCCCTAATGTCCAGTTGCTCTTTTCCTGTTCTATGCTCAGGGATGGGCCCAAAGAAGGTACCAATGACTCAAACTATCTGGGAACTCAAACAAATATCCTGTTAAGTGTTATATTGTAGAGGACTGTAGGAGTGAGTTATATGAGATTAAGATGTGTTTTTTAAAAAATATTTTAATGAGATAAATTGTGGAGAAATGCCCAAAAACAAAAACAAAAAAGGAAAGAAGAGAAAAAACACTATCCTTCCCACAGACAAATAGACTACCTTAAGAATCATTTGTTGACTGTGCACCACTCCCAACCTCTTGGCCCCATGAAGATTAGATTTTATTCATATTATTTAGTTTGAAATGTGCTGTAACTGTCAGCACCTCTGATAAGGCCAGGTCCATCACAGATGCCCCCACATAGTGGTTGAATAAGTGAATAACTAAATGATTGAGCTCATAGATTGCTAGGTGGCAGTATTTAATAAAATATGTGTTGAGTCATTTCCCATATTGTGGATAGACTCATGGTGGTCCAACCACTGTCATACATGGTGTCCTTTGGCACAAAGAGCACAATTTGGGAGATGGCTGGGTGTGGTCAGGAGTCTAGGACACTCAACAGAGAGAAGCTAGACCCTATAGGGGTGTCAACTCATCAGGGCTGAGCTCTCAGTTGAGGTTACCAGCAAGAGGTGAGTGCCCTTCAATCCCAGCTGAGTCTTATAAGGGTCCCCATCTTAGGCAAGTCTAGGGGTCAAACCTTTCTCAACTTCCCCTGAGTTGCCTGGTTGGGGAGTAAAGCAGTTGAAGGCAAAGAGTCTGGCCTGTGTGGTGTCTGGGTCAATGTGCCTCTTGTGAGATGCTCAGGGCAGCAGACTCTGGACTTGGGGAAGAGCGGACAGTTTCCAAGGCCTGTCTGATGGTGCTGGCTCAAGCCTGCCTGGGCTTTCCCTGCCGAGCCTATCCAGCAGAAGCTTCTTAGTGCCATTGCTTTTGTAGTTGCTTTTGCTCTTACTAGTAGCTCCCTGTTGAGAATAGGATTCGAATATCCTAGCTGGGCATTTCTGTTCTTGATGACAGGAAAAATCATGGCAGGCTTCAAGGGCAATGTGGCCCACCTCAGCCTGAGCTTAGTTTGCAGGGTGATTGATTGTCGCAGCTTTCCTGGGGCTGAGGAGTTTCTGGGAGGTGGGGCTTTCAGTTTTAAAACTGAGGCAGTACTGAGAAAACCAATATAAGTTGTCTCCCTAAGAGTGGACCAGGCCAGAATATTCCCAGTGGATCCTGGGGAAACCTTAGTGCCTAGAAGCCACACTGTGCAAAATGACATGGGACCTTACAGTGCAGGGAGATGCTATGTTCCACCCAGAGGCTCTGTGAATGGTGGCCTGAATGGAGCCTGTGTAACTGAGGGCAAGGGGGGTTAAGACGTGGCTGGAGCAGGCTTCCGGCTGCACAGAAGAGTCTCAGGTGCAGGAGGGCTCTTCCTCTTACGGGAGGCAGTACTGAAGTGGTCAAATTCTCTGTCTTGAGAGCTCTGGGGCTGGACTGAATCTGTCACCTCCTCAGTTCTGTGACTTCTTCCTAAGCCTCAGTTTTTTCATGTGTTAGACTGGGATAATAATAGTGCTAAATTTAGAGAGTTGTCGTGAAAGAGAGTGACATAAAGCAAATAAAAATGGTGAGCACATAGCAAATACTGAATATTATTGCTGCATTTATTATTGTTATCATATTGTATTAGTTTTCTATTGCTACAGAACAAATTCCCACAAACATAGTGGCTTAAAACACATACATTTACCATCTCACAGTTTTCCTGGGTCAGATGTCCTCAGGGTGAGCTGGGTCCCCTGCTCCACGTCTTACCAGGCTGTTATCAAGGTGTCAGCCTGAGCTGTGAGGCTTCGGCTTCTCTTCCAGGCTCACTGATTATTGGCTCAGTGCTTTGCAGTCGTAGGACTGAGGCCCCCAGTTCCTGGAGCCCCTTCCCTGACTCATGGCCTTCTCCACAACAGAGTGGTTTTCTTCTTTAAGACCAACAGGAGAGTATCTTTGGTACTTTTTTTTTCATTTCTGATCTGTAGACCCACTTTTATAGGGCTTACCTGATTAGGTCAGGTCCACCTAAGGCAAGATCCCCTTTTGATTAACTTGAAGTCAACTGGTTGGAAACCTTAGTTACAGTTGCAAAATCCTTTCTCTTTGACTTTATCATGCAACAGTGTGATCACATTCATGGGGAGGAGATCATGCAACCTGTGAGTCAGTTTAGGACTCTGACGGCCTTCCTACCTTTGGGAGCCAGAGGGAGCTGTGTAGATGGTGACATTGTGGGTGCTCTGGGCAGAAGCAGGCTAGAATGTGTGTGTGTGTGTGTGTGTGTGTGTGTGTGTGTGTGTGCGTCCCGTGTCTGAATTTGTGTGTGTGAACACCTTGGGGAGAATACTATGAGGCAGAAAGCTGGAGTCCCTTCCAACTCATGGAGTCAAAGAAGCTCCTTAACCAAACAGATGAAGCTGAGACATAACATAAGTGAGTCTGATTAGTGTGGCTCAGTAGTTGAGCATCGACCCATGAACCAAGAGGTCATAGTTCATTTCTGGTCAGGGCACATGCCCAGGTTGCAGTCTCAATTCCCTGTAAGGGGCTTGCAGGAGGCAGCCAATCAATGATTCTCTCTTATCATTGATGTTTCTGTCTCTTTCTCCCTCTTCCTTCCTCTCTGAAATAAATATCCTATCTAGCCGAAACCGGTTTGGCTCAATGGATAGAGCGTCAGCTTGGGGACTGAAGGGACCCGGGTTCGATTCTGGTCAAGGACATGTACCTTGGTTGCGGGCATATCCCTAGTAGGGGGTGTGCAAGAGGCAGCTGATCGATGACTCTCTCTCATCGATGTTTCTAGCTCTCTATCTCTCTCCCTTCCTCTCTGTACAAAAATCAATAAAATATATATTAAAAAAATGTATGGTATATTTTAAAAAAAAATAAATAATCCTATCTAATAAAAAAGTAATATGCAAATTAACCACCACTCCGCTATACCCACAAATCATGCCCACCAGCCAATCAGGAGTGATTATGCAAATGAACCCCAATCAATGATGGCTGTGGCCATGTAGAGCAGGAGGGAGGCTTGGGTTTCCCCAGAGACAAAGGAAGCCAAGCTTTCTGCACACCCTGGCTGGCCCAGGCCTCCGTTTAAGACTATAAAATTTTAATTATAGAAAATAAATAAAACCCCTGATACCAGGGCCTCCACTGAGGTGCAGGGGGGCATGGCTGGTCAGCAAACCACTACAGGCCCCTAGCCCAGGCCACCCCATAATCCAAAGAAACCCCCGCCCTGATCCGGGACACCCTTCAGGGAAAACCAGCTGGCTCCCACCCATGCACTAGGCCTCTATCCTGTCTAATAAGAGAGTAATAAGCAAATTGACCATCACTCCAACAAACAAGATGGCTGCCCCCATGTGGTCAAATATTCTGCCCCCCTGTGGACACAAGATGACCACCACAAGATGGCTGGTAGAGGAGGGTTGTTGGGAGGGACCAGGCCTGCAAGGGAAGGCGGTTGGGGGCAATCAGACCAGCAGGGGAGGGCTTTTGGGAGGGACCAGGCATGTAAGAGAGGGCAGTTGGGGGCAATCAAGCTTACATGGGAGGGAAGTTAGGGTTGAGGAGGCTGGCAGAGGTGTGAAGTTAGGGGTGACTGGGCCTACAGGGAAGGGCAGTTGCAGGGAGGGGGGGGACCCAGGCCTGCACGGGAGGGCAATTAGAGGTGATCAGGCCTGCAGTTAGGAGCAAACAGGCTGGCAGGAGAGCAGTTAGGCATCAATCAGGCTGACAGGGGAGTGGTTAAGGGGGTGATCAGGCTGACAGGCAGAAACAGTTAGGGGCAATTATGAAGGCAGGCAGGCAAGAAATTGGGAGCCAGAAGTCCTGGATTGTGAGAGGGATGTCTGACTGCTTGTTTAGGCCTGATCCCACTGGGATTGGACATCCCTCAAGGGGTCCCAGATTGGAGAGGGTGGGCTGAGGGACAACTCCCCCCATGCACGAATTTCATGCACCGGGGGTGGGTGG